GGTATTTTTTCAACAGATGATGATAACAGGATTGTACTGACCCCATGGCCACAGCTAGACAAATGTCAAACAACCTACACCAATGCAAGCTATATTGATGTAAGCTCATTCAAATGTTAATATTACTATATGCTATATGGTATTGTGTTACATACAGGGCTATAGCAACAGAACAAAGTTTATAGCATCACAAGGTAGTAATTCATAAATTAACTTGAAAAGTAATGTGATTTTTAGGTCCAATGAAGAAGACATTAGTTGATTTCTGGCGTCTTATCTGGCAGGAGAAGCCAGTGTCTATTGTAATGGTAACCAACCTGAAGGAAGGAACTAAGAGTAAGTGTGAGCAGTACTGGCCTAATACTATTGCTGAAAATTATAATTTTGGACCATTCACTGTCACACTAACAAATGAGCAGGTTTACCCTGACTTTGTTATTCGTCAACTTAATGTTAAAGTAAGTCAATGACACTGCATAATTTATATTAACCTTGTACGCTTTGACAGATATATGATGGATCCAATGATAGTCATACACTGACTCAGTATCATTTAACCTCATGGCCTGATCATGGAGTACCTGATTATGCTACTCCATTGATGTCTCTTCACAAACAAGTCATGGCTACTTGGTCTCCCTCTAAAGGTCCCATCCTGGTCCACTGTAGTGCTGGTGTAGGTCGTACTGGTACATTTATTGCTATAGACATAGCTCTGGAACAAGCTAAGAGAGAGGGAGTAGTAGATATTGCTGGTATTGTTAATAGACTGAGACAACAGAGAATGAAGATGGTTCAGACACTAGTAAGGACATGAGTACATGGATTCATTCATTTATACTAACATTGTATAGGATCAGTATGTGTTTCTTCATGATGCTGTACTGGAGACAGTGATGTGTGGAGATACAGAAATACTAGCCAATGAATACGAAATGAAACTTCAGGAATTAAAGGAGATTGATTCATCAACTGGTTGTTCTGCCCTACAGTCTCAGTTTGATCTACTCTCTCAAGTGACTCCTGATCCTGATGATGTTTTCTGTGATTCTGCTAAAGCACATTCAGATAAAAATCGATCCACCAGTTACTTACCACGTAAGAACTTTCACAATCAATGACAATCATTGACATTCTTTGTTACAGGAGAAAACTTTCTTGTAACACTCAAGGAAAACAATGGATACATCAATGCATCATACCTATCAGTAAGACATTGTGCTAGATAATACTTCATTATATACACATTTTAGGGTTATAGGGAGAAGAAAGCATTCATTATAGCTCAGAGTCCTATGAAGAACACTGCCAGAGACTTCTGGAAGATGATAGTGGACTATAAAGTGTCTGCTATTGTTATGCTCTGTGGACTGGAAGAGGATGGAGAAGTAAGCTAATTTAAGTAAAAAAAATTTTCAGTAATACTGCAGGAGTCATGCTATCAGTATTGGGCAGATAGTGAGACCACTAACTTTGGAGAATATTTTGTGAAATTGGATTCAAGCAAGGAATGCAATGGATACATTGAACGAAAGTTTCATATTCATTCAGACAAAGATGATAATAGCTCTTCATGGGATCTGATACAATTACAAGTGACAGATTGGCCTCAAGATGGAGTTGTTAGGGAACCACGTACTGTCTTACAAGTTATTGATGATGTTATACACAGACAACAAAAGATTGGAGGAGGACCAGTAGTGGTACACTGTAGGTAAGAGAGAGAGTTATACTGATAGACTAATGATGAGTAATTGATTATTGTGTGTGTGTGTGTGTGTAGTGATACAGTGAGTCGTTCAGGAGTGTATTGTTCAGTGAGTATTGGTCTAGAACAGTGTAAGGCAGAAGGTGTAGTGGATGTGTTTCAAGTGACTAAAGCTGTGAGAAGGAGTAAACCAGGAGCTGTGACTACACTGGTATATACTAGATATATGAGTGGGTACTAGTGTA